CTTTCCACTCAAAAGTTTTTCTTATGGTTGTTTTTGAATTTTATTTCAGGCAAAGGTCAACAACTCTAGTTTAATTGGAGTGGGTTACACTCAGACTCTGAGGCCTGGTAAGTATTCATACAGAGGGATTGTCTTGACACCATTCACTTGTCAGCTTCAAGTACATGGAAGAGCTGATTGTTTCCCTTTCTCCCACCCTCCCTGAGTCATTGGAAAGTCTGGTTTATCAGGGCACTTTGTTTGGATGCGTCTCAGAATAAGAACTTTCTGTTCTTAGGAAAGTTAGTAGTGCCAGGGATGTAGCTCAGTGGTTCCGGCACCTGCCTCGCAAACGCAAGGTCCAGAGTTCAATCCCTGATACCAGAAAAAGAAACTTGGTGGTGACCATTCCCCATTCACTTTTCTCACATATCTAAAATGCAGAAGTAAATATGCACTTGTAGTAGTTCCTATTTCCTCAGATTTCACCTGCTTGGGTTGGCTCTGTTTCTGTAATCTTACTTTACATAGTATTTGTTTCTTGCTGTGTTTTCTGGAGCAGCACTTCTCGAACATGAGCGTGCATGTCAGTGCCCTGTGGAGTCTGTTTCAGTGCAGATCCTGATCCAGTAGTTCTGGGATGTGGCATTCTGTACTTCTAATGAGCTTCCTAGTTCTCTGGTTCTTTCCTCTGTCTCTGCCTCTCTGTGTCTATGTCCCATTTTTAAACCATTTGACTAGCAAGGTTCTAAAGTACTGAGAGCATTTTTTCCCCTTCTAGCAGACATTTTCCCTCCAAAATTTTTTTTGGTACTGAGGATCGAACTCAGGACCTTGCATTTGCCAGGCACGTGCAGCACCACTGAGCTACATCCCCAGCTCCCTCCAGATTTAGACCATTTTGAAACCTAAAGAAAAGTCTAAAGAAATACAGTGAGCTACCATGATTTATCTCATTCTCTGTACACTTAACCCTTCTTTTCGCATAGTTTTAAAAGATGTTTGCAGACATGTAGACAGACTTGCCTTAATATTTATTGCCTAAGAGTAAGATGGTTTTCTTCATAACTGCAATACCCTTTCTACACCTAAGACAGTATCAATTTACCTAATGGTAGTTTGTACTCAGGTTTCCCTACTTGTCCCTGCCCTCAAATATCTTTTCATTGTTTTTGCTTTCTAGGGTCCAGTTATTGACTTCTCTTGTATATTTCAGTCAGAAGAGTATAACCATTGTTTTCTAGAACACTTTGAACTAACATTTTTATGCTCTGTGACTTGGTACCCTTACAAAATGAATTCTTAGTATCTTGCTACTTCCAAGCGCCCTCTGGTGGCTGACACTGGTAATTCAACTGGCAGTTTGAGGAGGCTGCAGGCAGGCTCTGGGTGGCTGTTAGGGCACTCAAGACTTGGAGCAGGAGGGAAGTGCTTCAGGCCCTTCACAGTGGTTTGCTTTGTTTACAGGTGTGAAGCTTACACTGTCTGCCCTGGTAGATGGGAAGAGCATTAATGCTGGAGGCCACAAGCTTGGGCTTGCCCTCGAGTTGGAGGCTTAATCCAGCTGAAAGAAACCTCTGGCAGTGGATATCGGATTTGGCCTTAATATATTTCCATTTTGACCAGCAGGCTTTTATTTCCCCCAAGAAGGTGATCAAACAAAGGATGATCTAAACAAGAGCTGTATTTTAAATATTTAGACAGTTACCTTGTTGGTTTCTAGTTGAATTGGTTGTCTAGTTACCAATGCTGCAATCATGCAGTCACTTACACATTATTTAAATGTATTTATCTGTTAAATTGCGCTACCACCAATAATGAAATAGACCTTTATGAAAACCGTGTAGTTGTGTGCATATTTACATATTGTGTAGTTGTATGCTTATTTGTTTTAACATTTGAGTATTGCCATTGAATGACATGGAAAGTGTTTGAAGATGAGGTTAACATTTTTAAAAATTAAATTCAGCCATCATATTTACTTTTGGTATCTGAGGATATCACAAGTTATGAATAAAGCAACTATACATAATTGATGGCTCCACGTATTTGCAGAGTTAAAAGATGCCAGCTAGGGTCAAAGATCTGATATTGAGATAGTTTTTCTAGTGAGCATTTTGCTTTTTACCTAAATCTGTCACCAACTCTCCTGTGAATAATTCCATGAGCATTCTGAGATTAGAATAAAGTTAAGAGGACACACACTCCTCAGAGTTTGTGTGTAGTTACACTGGGTCATTGTTAATTTCAGGCACATTTGGAGAGAGTAAATGAAGGGATGTAGGGATTGTGTTGAGAGGCTCTATGCTCATGTAAAACTCCTATGAGCTCCTGCTATAGAAAATGCACTAAACCTTACATTGGTGGGATGGGAAGTAGAGTAAGATAGAGCAGTGGTGGTGAACCCGTGGCTTGTGTTGCTGTAGCAGGCTGTTATCACTGACAGCTCAAAAGGTTTGCCATTACTGATACAGGCCATGTTTGTGCCACAGGCTGTGTGTGTATGAGGTATGAAAAAATACAGTGCTGAAAAAATTGTTACAGTAAGACACATTGCCCCTCAAAACACTCACCCCTCGCTTCAAACACACATCGTTCTTGCCACTTTCTGAAGCAGTTCTGGAAGTCCTCTTTTGTTTTTTTGGTTTTTTTTTACTTAAATTCTTTTATTGGTATATTTTAGGTATACGACATATTTACATTTCTTATTGGGAACTTGTACATTTACCTGATGCATCTTGATTCTTATTTTTTCCTCATTCCTAGCCCTCCCTTCATCCCCTCCACCCTTCCCTATTTACAAAGACTTTATTTCTATTTTTTCCATTTCTCATCATTTTTCCTTTCC